AACTTGCCGTGAGGTTCGTCACTCCCGCCCCGTGGGGCGCCCTTGGCCTCTTTGCCCGCCCCTCGGGGGGCGTCACTAGCCCCTCCCTCTCGCGTCTGTGCTGTCCGCGCCCGTGTCTTTTGTCCGCCCTTTTATTTCGCCTCTAGTCCTTGACTCCCCTCGTGTTCCGTCTGCAGCCTCCCGTCTCCGCCTCCGTCACTGACGTCATCACCGCCGCCCTCATTCTTCCAGTTACGTCACGGCCTCTTGTTCCCGGCGCTCGACCATCTTCCCCGGGACGCCCGCTGTCCCTTCCACGTCCCTTCCTCCCTTTTCCTTCCCCCCCTCCCCCTCCCTCCCTTCCCACATGACTTTCTCTCCTTTCCGGGTAGACTTTTCAGCCCCGCCGCCCGCGCCCGTCGAAAAAGGCCCTAGCAACTTCCCCTTTCTGCCTGGGTCCTCGCCGCCCTCCGGGAAAGGACTCTCCCCCTTCCTCACCCTCGAACTGCCTCTGGGGCCCAGGAAAGGTTACAGCGATTCCCCTGCCCATCCCGCCAGCCCTTCCCCAAACCAGGCCAAAGGGTGCACCAACTCTACTCACCCTCCGGGTCCTCCCCAGTTCTCCAGAGACCCCTTCTCTGGCCTCACCTGCGGCCCTGGGATTTCTTCCGACACGGGCCCGCCCGGCTCCCTGCCGGAACCGGTGCCCTCCCGGCCCCCACCGCCCCTCTCCCCACTCCCACAGCCTCCCCTACGCCTGGCGAGATGTGCCTTTGAACCCTGTTTGCCCCTCCTCGGAAGGCAACCCTGCTGCGAGCCTGTCTACTGGGGGTCACCCCCTCCGAGCCCTTGTTTTGGCCGATTCAGGCCCAGGGGGTCACCCCCTCTCCATCCGCAGAGCCCCTGTTGCAGCCTGATGAGTCCCCCGAGAATACCGTGGCCCGGCCCCAGAAGCCCTTACATGGACCAGAGCCCCTACCTCTGTTACTCTGCGCAGCATCCTGCAGCCCTGGTCACATGCCCGGTGACTGGCCCCGTGATTTCCCCTTACCTTGCTCACCGACCCATGGAATACAGACCAGTAATTTACCCACCCGTTTCTCACGGGGTTTTGCACGTCTCGCGGATCTCCCCTCTGTACCCTACCTGGTCCTCAGGGAGAAGTTACAACGATTCTCCTTCTTCAGCATCTTCCCCGCCCACTGGCCAGCTTTACCTGGGTCATCTGAGGCCTCCAGACTCTCGTAAACCTCAACCCCCACTTGACCCACCCCTGGAGAAAAGTTATTGTGGCTCCCTGTTTTCCCAGGCAAATGCGCCTGGCTGTCCTGGCTCCCCTCAAGAGGACTCCCGTCACTATTCCCATCTTCCCTCAGAGGCCCCCGTGTCTACCCCTGGGAGACCCTATTGTGGCAACCCTTTACCAGCCGGGATGATTGATTCTTCTTGCTCACTCCAGTCCCAGGCTTTCAGGAAGCCTTGCTTAGAGTCCGTTCCCTCCTGGGAGACTAATGGGAAATCGTACCTTGTTTCTGGCACCCCGATTTCTGGTTCCCCCTGTTCCGAGGAGCCACCTCTTCCCCAGTCTGCACATTATCCTAATTCTGCCTTCTGTTTCCCTTCACCCCTGGGCAACCAGTTTATATCTCCACCGCAGTCACCTCCCCGTAGAAGCTATAATGAACCCTCTCTCCTTACCCCAGTTTATCCCCAAGTGAAATCCCCCAGATCTCCAGAGTTAAAACAGCCATGTGCTCCCTGCAGCCCTGACCAGTACACTCCTTCTGATCAACCTAAGCCCCCTGAGGATAGCGCCTCTCCTCCACTTCCCTCCCACCCTTGTGGTCTCTCTGATCCTTCTTGTTCCATCACAACTTGTTCAAATTCCTGCCCCCAAACACTTCCCCAAGGGGCTATCATTCCTACTCTGGTCCCTAGAACCCTGAAAACTGCTAGTCCCACATCACTTCCCTCCCGCCTTCCTTGTGATTCTATCTTACCTAATGTTTATGCTCAGAGCTACCCCCATGGACCACCTCTGGGAACTCCTTGCAATGCCCATATATATTCTGTGGTTCCCTCCACCCCTAATCCCTGCCCACTCTCTGGTTCCACGGGGCCCCCTCAGTGTCCTAACCAGCCCATGGTGCCTCCTTGTGGCACTTATGGCACTCCTAGGGGCCCACCCCAAACCCTTCGACGGCCTCCATGTTCTACCCACATCTATTCATTTATCCCTTTAAGAACACCTTTTGACCCCCAGAGTTTACCCATTACCCCCCGACCCTGCCGCCACCCTGATACTATGCCCTGTGGCCTCCACATATACTCTGTGGCTTCTCAAGGCTCTTGCAAAGAGCCCCCCCAGATACCCTACAGCTTTCCATTGCCTTCATCCACGAGTTCCAGCTGTAGTAGCAATATTCCCAGCTGCAGTTCAACTGTTATAATTAATGAATGCCAGAGTAGTGACAACCAGAACAAGAATACCCACCAAAGCAGAAGTCGAAGCCAGTGTGAGAATCCCAACCGTCTTAGCAGAAGTCGGAGTAAAAGCAAGTGTCGCCATCTTAGCAGAAATCAGAGCCTGACCAGTCGCTTCAACCAAAGCTTAAATGAGGATCAGAGTGAGAATCTTCAACTTGCTATATTTCAAAGACAGAGTGAGAGTCCCCAATATAGAAAAAGTCAAGGTCCAAGCATGAGTTCCCACCATCTCAAAGGGCAGGGCAAGAGCCAAAACAAGAGTTCCCACCATCTCAAAAGGCAGGGCAAGTGCAAAAGCTCCCATCACAGCAGGAGCTGGAGCAAGAGTCCCCACTGTAATAAGAAATGAGAGCCAAGAGCAAGAGTTCTGAATAAACCAGAAATCCAGGCCAAAGCAAAATTCACAGGAACAGGACTACCAGCCATAGTAACACTCAGCTGTGGCAATCAGGACCAACTTACGGACTCCTCAGTTGATATCTTCATTTTCCTTTTAATCAACTTTTATGCTCGTCAAGCCTGACTGATGTCCCTCTCTGCTACTCCCATAGAAGTCATCCTAGAAGTTCCCAGTTTGGTTTGAACCCCAAAGTTTCAATGAACTCTCCTTTTCCTACCTTCCTGGGGTCTGGAAACTCCAGAATTACCCTCCACCCTGTGATCGCATTATGGTTTTTGCCACTGCATAACCTTAGGTAAGTACCCTTATCTCCATCAAATGTGGAAGATTGATGTTTTTGTATCCCACTGAACTATCTGTTGTGCTCACATAAGCTAGTAGACATGAAAGTGCTTTAGAAAATGGAAGGGCTAGTCAGAGAGAAAGCGTCTTTTGCTTTTCAGCCTGATACTTTCCCTAAGGGCTCCGAAATTTCTTCCAATCTTCTGTAGATTTTCCTCGAGTCCTCTTCTGAGCTCTCATTCTCTTAAGTTCCTCTTACTCCAAGGCCTGGAGGAGTGCCCCTTTCTTGGTGACCCCCACATGCTGTTGTGAGAACTACAGCTTCCTTTCTCTCACACCCCTGAGATAGACCAGCTCCTTAGTACTTTTCTCTCCCACACTTCTCTGGCTGGCAGAAGAAGGGTCCAAAGGCAGGAGTGGGCACTAACTGGATCCACATTATCTCTAGAGATCTGATTTATTGCTGGGGTTGGGCAGTAGGGGATAGAGAGGTAAGACTGGAAGATAAATAAGTCTGTTCTTTCCCTTGTAGGCTGCCACAGAGCCCAAATTTCCTGCCACTCGCCTTGCTCTGCAGAATTTTGACATGACCTACAGTGTGCAGTTTGGAGATATTTGGCCATCGATCCGGGTCAGTCTTCTCTCAGAGCAGAAGTATGGTGCACTGGTCAATAACTTTGCTGCCTGCGATCATGTGAGTGATGAACTGGAGCAGCTGCATGCCAGAGACTTTGTGAATAAAGCCCACTCCCATGGGGAACTGGAGCCTGAGAGTGGCCAGACGGCAGCTCCATCCCCAGCTTCCTGGGCCTGCAGTCCAAACCTTCGATGCTTCACTTTCACCAGAGGGGATGTCAGCCGTTTCCCTCCTGCCAGGTAGTCTCTGGAGTCATGGCTGGGGCTGTCTTGAGTGTCTGCTGGAAGTAGACAGGAAGAGACCCAGCTTTTGCTGTCTTTAATAGAGATCATAATATTGCTAGTGTTTACTGAGTGCTTATACATGTTAGCCTTTTTTCTAAGTGCTGCACATATGTGATCTCCTTTTGTTCTGTTAACAGCCCTCAGGGGTAATATTATTTTTCTTCTTTACATTTGAGGAAACAGGTGCAGAGAAGTTGAAGTCCTTATTTGCTTTAGGTCCCTTAGATAGTAAGTGGTACAACAAATAGATTCTGGTGGTCTGACACCAGAACCTGGTCTTTGAACCTCCTCTGACCTACTGCCTCCTACAGAAAACAACCACCTCTGACTTGAGCATTTACTACATCCTCTCCAGTTAAAATTTGTGTTATTTACAACTGCTTTCCTATAACCACCCAGTAAAGTGACAAGTAACCTCATGGTACCAAAGAAGAAGAGGAACGTGCCCAGGAAACGGGGCTTGCACAGAGTTAGCACTCCAGGAAAAAGAAAGAAAAACTTCTGGTCTTCTGATCCAGTGCTCAGATGTGTATGAAGTTGAATGGAAAAGAAACTAATCAAATGCTAAATTGTGCTTTACAAATTGAGAAAAGAACAGATTAGAGTTGTAGAATGTGGAATTCATCTTTGAAGGATTGATTCATCCAGTCAACAAATTTTTATTGTATACCAAGTGCCAGGCATTCTTTTTTCTTTTTTCTTACAAACCCTTGTGTCGAGGGCTGACTTTCAATAGATACAGTGAGGGAGCTGATCTGCTACATACAAATCCCCAACCAGAAGCAGGCTGTCCCAGGCATTCTTAAGTGCCTGGATTGTGGATGCACAAGCCCTCATGGAACTAACAGTCTAGTGAGGAAGACAGCTATTAAAACACTACTATGGCCCTGGCCAGGTAGCTCAGTTGGTTAGAATGTTGTCCCAATATGCCAAGGTTGCAGGTTCGATACCCTGTCAGGGCACATACAAGAATCAACCAATGAATGTGTAAATAAGCAGAACAACAAATTGATGTTTCTCTCAAATCAATAAATAAAGAAAAGCAAAATAAAAATAAATTTCCCCCCCCCCCCACTATTTATGATTTTGATAAGTACTACAAAGGAAAAGTGCAAGATGCTATAATTAGGAGATATAACCCAGTCTTTTCTGAGGGTGTTAAATTTAAGTTAAGACCTTAAAACAGTAGGAATTAAAGCTGATGACATGGGTAAGAGTCTAAATATGAGGCTACTACAGCAGGCAAGAGCCATATTATAAAGGTATTATAGGTAATATGGGATTTTGGACTTTTTCTCTAAGGGTAAAAGGGAACTATGAAAGATTTTAAGCTGGTGAATGATATGACCATATTTGAATTTTTAAGATAACATTTTGGCTGCTGCATGGGAAACATTGGAGAGGGGCAAAGCTAGAAATGCGGATGTAAATTAGGAGGCTTTTGCAATAGGCCTAGCAACTGGCTTGAAGGAAGGCTGTATTCTTTTTTTTTTTTTTTAAATATATTTTATTGATTTTTTACAGAGAAGAAGGGACAGAAATAGAGTTAGAAACATCGATGAGAGAGAAACATCGATCAGCTGCCCCCTGCACACCCTCTACTGGGGATGTGCCCGCAACCAAGGTACATGCCCTTGACTGGAATCGAACCTGGGACCTTTCAGTCCGCAAGCCGACGCTCTATCCACTGAGCCAAACCGGTTAGGGCAAGGCTGTATTCTTAAGAGTAGTAAGAGCTTGGCCAGCGTGGCTCAGTGGTTGAGCATTGACCTATGAACCAAGAGGTCACGGTTCGATTCCTGGTCAAGGCCATGCCCGGGTTGTGAGCTCGAACCCCAGTGTGGGGTGTGCAGGAGGCAGCTGATCAATGATTCTCTCTCATCATTGATGTTTCTGTCTCTCTCCCTCTCCCTTCCTCTCTGAAAACAATAAAAAACTAATTTTTTAATAAAAGAGTAGTAAGAAATGAGGCTGGAAAAGTATATGTAGGCCATATGTGGGAATCTTGGATGTCAGGAGCTTGTAGGTTGGGGAAAGGAAATTTTTTTCTGGTGGCCCAGTGTTGCTTAAAAATAGCTGAAATTGCCAGGGCTGGGTGGCTTCATAGTATGTGCCCTTTAGTACATACTGCTGTAAATTGCAAAGATCTGTTTTAGAGAACCACCAGAAAGGGTTTCTAAGTAGAAGAGAAGAATAATGCACAGAATGGGCTTTGGAGTTAAGAAAACCCATATTTACCTACTGCCTTCATCATTTATGAGACATGTGGCATTGAATAACTAGAGTTCACTATGTGCCAGCTGCTTTTCTAAGCATTTGACTTATATTAATTTCTTTACTCCTTACAATAATCCTATCTGGTGAGTATTGTTTTTATAGATGAGGATATTGAGGCACAGACAAGTTGAGTATTTGCTGAAGGCCACACAGCTAATGAGCAACTGGGCTGGATTTGAGATCCAGGCAGACTGGCTCTCGAATTTGGGTTCTCCTCATAGGGTTGAAAATTAAATGAAATTATACATGTTAAACACCTAGTTCAGTATAGCCCTAGTAAGTACTATATCTTACTATTGTCATATTCTCATCAAAGCTATGCTTCAGGAAGATTATTATTATTATTATTATTATTATTTTATTATTTTAGAGTGACAGTTTATTTTACTTTTTTAATCCTCACCCAAGGATATTTTTCCATTTATTTTTTTTTAGAGAGGGTGGAAGAGAGAGGAAAAGACAGAGAGAAACATCGATATGAGAGAAACACATAGATTGGTTGCCTCCTGCATGAGCCCCACCAGGTGCCCCACCCGGACCTGGGCCGGGGAGGAGCCTGCAACCTTGACTGATATTGAACCCAGGACCCTTCGGTCCACAGGCTGATGCTCTATCCACTGAGCCAAACTGGCTAGTGCTTTAGGAAGATCATTTTAGTCACTGTGGTGGTGAGTACATAGATTGGAGTAGGTTTGGAGACCAATTTGGAGGCATTAGCTTTAGGCAGAACCATGGAGTAAATAGGAACCGTGTAGTTTCCTAAGTTGTCTCAGGTGCTCTGCTGCCACTCAGGGAGGACACCTTGGGAGTAGTTGGGGAAGCAACTATATGACTTAGTTGGCATTTTTTTCCTTCTTGTCTTAATGGGCTCTCTGTAAATCAAGGGAATCTTAACCTCTCAGGAGTTCAAAGATGTATTCAGGGAGTCCAGGAAACTCCTGAAATTGTCTGAAAAGTTGTTGTACCTTTTTTTTTGAAAAGCCACTGTAGCTTTTAGCAGATTTTCAAAATTGTCTGTGAACTAAAAAGGTTAAGGAGTGATGCTTCTAAAGGAAGGAACTTGAGAATGGGTTTTGTGGGCCAGTGCTAGTGTGTTAGCATTCTATGCTTTACTCAGATATTTCAGTTTTCTTCTCATTCTCCTTTGTGAGGCATGAGGTACACAGTTTCACAGACAGTCCCAGCATGATTTGACTTAAAATATCCCATCATACCCCTAGCCAGTTTGCCTCAGTGGATAGAGCGTCATCCTGTGGACTGAAGGATCCCGGGTCTGATGCCGGTCAATGCCTGGGTTGTGGCCTTGATCCCCAGTGGGGGGCATGCAGGAGGCAGCCAGTCAGTGATTCTCTCTCATCGATGTTTCTATCTCTCTCTCCCTCTGTCAATTGATTCCTCTCTGAATCACTAAAAATATTTTTTTAAAAATCGCATTCTGGCTTGAGCCTGAATGCAGGAGATGTCACAACTTCATGACTGGGGATTTGTAGCTCTTGTAGCTTACTGTCAGTGGTGCTACCTATGTCTTATGTCTTGTCATATATTTCTCCCAGAGCCTTCCTGTCAGGGCACCAGGACCAGGTTTCTGTCTCCTTGAGTCTGCTTCCAGTGGCTGTCATGCTGAGCTGTGTCTCAGGCAGGGGAATGGGGAATGGCTGTACCACCTATGACAACTAGCGTGGACGTGAGGAGTCCTTTTGTGACTATTGGATTATTGTCTTTTGTCCCTTTGTACCCACACCATTGCTGCCTCTCTTCATGCCTTGTCAGCTCTCACTTGGATTCTTGTAACAGCCTTTTCACTAATAATTCTAATTTGTTCTTTCTAGCCCACCTAGCTTTCTAAAACTCCATCTAGATGATCAGACACATACTTTTCCTTAAGCTTTTGGTATCTGCCTACAAGTTGTAGTCCAAACTCGTTAGCAAAGGGTTTAAGACCTTTTCCTACCTGGCTTCCATCTGTTTTCCAATCTCAGTGTCATGTACCTTGTATTTCTACTATACCAGATTATCAGATTATCACTGCTTCTGAAAAAGCTATGAGTTTGCATGCTTCTGTTCCTTTGTGTCTTCATTTTTACTCAGCTTGGAATGCTTCTCTTCCTTTTTTTTTTATATTATAGTTACTTTTAATTTTTTAATTTATTGAGGTGACATTGGTTAATAATATTACATAGATTTCAGGTATACAGTTTCTGTAATACATCATCTGTATATTGTGTTTGTCACCCCAAGTCAAGCCTCCTTCCATTCTTTTTTCTTTATTTTGTATATTTTTTACCTGATGAAGGAATGGGCCTTCATCAGGCCTAACTCGGGACTCCAATAGGCACAAGTGATGACACTCTTCTCTGAGCCTAAAAAGTACTTTGTATCTCAATATGTAACCCAATAAAATTGGGTTCCTACTATATGCCAGGCACTGTTTCAGTGTATGATAAAGAAAGCAGGCAAAATTCCTTCCCTCATTCTAATAGGGAGGGACAGAGGGGAAACAATACACACATCTGTATATATAAAGTGAATAGTAAGTGTTTTAAAGAAAAATAATGCAAGATAGAGAGCTAGAAGGGGATGGGAGGAGGTGGTTTCTATTTTTAGATAGAGTAGTCAGGGAATACCAGTGCCTTTTGATGAAGTAACTTGTGAGGAGAGATCTGAAGAAGTGAGGAAACAAATGAGGGATATTTGGGAGTGTTGCAGGTAGAAGGTACAGCAACAAAAAGTCTGAGACAGGAGCAGGCATGGCTTAATTAACAAATAGAAAGATGGCTAGTGGGGCTGGATTAGAGTGGATTGAACTGTGTTTTAAAAGGATTATTCTGGCTGCTGTGTAAATGAGTGGCTGAGTGAGTAAATAAGTGAGTGTGGGTCTGAGGAATGAGTTATTGCTGAGTAGAGCTTAATAACCCCTGAGGACATGGACTTGGTGTCCTTGACTCCCATTGGATCTCCTGACTTGTAATTTGACAATAAGGTGCTCTTCTCTCTTCCAGGCTTGGCAGCCTAGGTGTCATGGACTACTACCTGATGGATGCTGCCTCCTTGCTGCCTGTCCTGGCCCTTGGCCTGCAGCCCGGTGACACGGTGCTTGACTTATGTGCAGCCCCCGGGGGAAAGACACTAGCATTGCTTCAGACTGGCTGTTGCCGTAAGTCAGAGGGCTGGTGTCTTGGGTAGCGAGAGCTCTCTACTTCACCCAGTCAGGGGCACACTGAATATGATGTCTTTGGTCCCTAAGGTCAGAGCGGGGATAGTGCTTGCTGGTGTATTTTTTCTGTCGTTGATTATTTCCTCTATTTCTCTATCAATTGGCCAAGGAAGATTGCCAAGCAGAGCAAGGTCTCGGAAGGCAGATTAAATTAATGCCCTAGTCCCGTGGTCGGCAAACTGCGGCTCGTGAGCCACATGCGGCTCTTTGGCCCCTTGAGTGTGGCTCTTCCTAAGCCTTAGGAGTACCCTAATTAAGTTAATAACAATGTACCTACCTATATAGTTTAAGTTTAAAAAATTTGGCTCTCAAAAGAAATTTTAATCGTACTGTTGATATTTGGCTCTGTTGATTAATGAGTTTGCCAACCACTGCCCTAGTCAGTCTACCATATGATACTTTCACCCCTATTTACTTCATCTCTAAGATAGTTGCCAGCTAAAGTAATAAGATCTGGCTGCAGTGAACCTTTATAGCGGGGGTGGAGAACCTTTTTTATGCCAAGGGCCATTCAGATATTTATAACATCATTGGCGGGCCATACAAAATTATCACCTTAAAAATTAGCCTGCTATATTTGGGCAAACATTTAATTTACTCACCTCTAATGCCTTAGTAGGGCCAGACCAAATGATTTCACAGGCCTATAGGGCCTGTGGGACGTTCCCCACCCCGGCTTTATAGCTTTATGTTATTCTTCCCCAGGCTTTATGTGCTTCAGCCATATCCTACTACTCTGTTGCCCAAATTAGACTCCCCCCTTTGTTCATGTTATGTTTTCTCTCTAGAACACTCCTACCTGATCCCTTTTAACTTTCAAGCCTCAGCTCAAGTGTGCCACCTCCTGGAAGTCTTTCCTCATGACCTCTACTGGCCAGTTGAGAAGTGATGCTCTGTCTCCTATGTGCCCAATCCTGGGCATCACCCTTGCAACTGTTAGCACATTATTAGCCTTGCATCAGAGCTTTACTGGTATGCATCTTCTCACTCTACAGAATTATTAACTCCTTGGGAACAGGCCCAAGTCTTACCATTTTAGTAGTGTAGCCTAGGTTGGGCCTTGTGAACTACAAGTGTTCACTTCAGCCATTCACTGGCCTACATCCTGCCTTAAATAGGCAGTATTTTTTCCTTAAGGACCTGACAAATATCCACAAGGGGGCTGTGATTTTCACACTCACCCTGGCGCTCAGGCAGGCTTGTCTTGCAATATGCCCTACCTACCTTTTCGTTGGGCCTGGACCCTTCTTTTCCAGTTCTCATCAGACAACTTGTACAGTTTGCATTAGCTTCCAGCCTCATGACAGGCCCCATGGATGATTCTAGAGAGGCACCACATTTGATCTCAGCCTTCTGGAAGTCCAGAGGGAAAGGAGAAAAGTTGTTGATATAGCATAATGAGGTCAGTGCCTGAGAGCCCAGCCTGTGTGTTGAGCTGTGCTGATCTTACTGAGTGATGTGGAAATCCATCAGAAGAGGGATGGAAACAGCAGGGTTGCTTGGAAGAGGAGGAATTTGAACTAAGAGAAGCAAGAAGGGCCAAGGAGATGTACTTGAGAGTTGCTCTTCGGTGTGCTGAATTACCAGCAACTCACCTTCATCCCAGCAACTCCTTGATCTCAGGGAGACAGGAATTTCAGTGCCAGAAGGGAACTTAGAATTTACCTAGTCCGGCCCTCATATTTTATGGAGGGGGAAATTGAGCCATTGAGAGATTAAATAACTTAACCTTTTATATAAGTTGAAGGTAGAGATAGAATAGGACTCAGTTTTTCTGTTTTCAGTTCATATCCAACTGCAAATTCCTCTTGAACAGAGAATACAATTTTTACTTCCTTGATGTCCTCAAAAAGTGGGACCGTATTTCCTTGTGAGAATACTAAACTGTTTTATGGTAGTGACCATTCCCATTAGATAAGGTATTCACTCTCTAGTTCCCCCTTCCCAATTAAATATATTGCGGTAACCTTGGTTAATAACAATACAGTATATAGATTTTAGGTATATATTATACTTTCATATTTGTATACTCTATTGTGTGCTCACCACCCAAAGTCTAGTTTTCTTCTGTTGCCATACGTTCACTCTCTAGTTCTTAACCACACTTCCCACCTCCATTTCTCTCCTTGACTCTGAGGCCAGGTATCAATTGCCATTTATCAGCAAGCTTGCAGTTAATACTTTTTCTTATTGTAGAACCAAGAGCAAAGTGTCTGTTACAAAAGGGAAAGTAAAAGATAGATGGTGAATCAATTAGGATTAGGGTCAGTCATATACAATAGAAAACTCAACTAGCTTAACGAAGAAAAGTTTACTTCTCTCTTACATGAGAGAAGTTGGGATATAAGCAGTCCAGGGCTGGTTTGGAGGCTCCACAATCACCAGGGACAACCTATTTTATTGTTGACTTTAGCACCATTGCTTGTGGGATGTTTCGTTGGGCCTTGACCTTTGAAGTTCCTTTATTTCCAGAGGCATAAAATGTCCGTACTACCAAAAGCCATCTATAGATGCAGTGCAATCCCTATCAAGATTCCAATGGCATTTTTTACAGAAGTAAAAAAATAATCCTCAAATTTATGTTCCTACAGGCAATCTTGCTGCCAATGATCTCTCCACTTCCCGAACAGGCAGACTTCATAAAGTCCTTCACAGCTATGTACCTCAAGATGTTAGGGATAAAAGTCGAGTTCGAGTCACCTCATGGGATGGCAGGAAGTGGGGAGAACTGGAGGGGGACACCTATGACCGGGTGAGTGATTCCTGTCCTGGGATATTCAGCCAGCCAAATCTGGCCTCCTCACCCTGACTCCAGACCTGGGCAGTAGGATTGAGCCCTACATGTTTGAGCAAGGTCAGCTCTCCATGGGGATTTGGAGAAAACAATCATCTACAGAATTGTCAGTTTAGCTTACATGACTGGCAACTCTATCTTCATTAGAGATTGCAGCAAAAACAAGTTTGAACCTGACTGATTATAAAAAATGTATATTAGGCTTATTTTATTTTTCAACTTGGTTGCTCAGAAACCCTTAAATTTCTTGCTTCCTTAGTAGATCTCTAATGATTTCAGATAGGTATTTTAAATATTTTGTTAAGCATTTCTAGTTGTTCCAGCTTGAGGGCTGGTTTGCAACAAGCTATTCTGCCTTGAGTAGGATTGAGAAAACATGATTTTGTTTATTATCAGCTTAC